AGTAAGTGTATGTAATTCTTAGAGTAAAAAGATACATCTTCTTTAATATATATATATATATATATATATATATATATATATATATAATTTGCTTTATTTGCAAATATTTTTATAATAATGAGTTTGAATCTAACTCAATCTTACAAAATTGTTTTATAAAAAGATTGTTGGCTCCCTACTTATATATTTTTTAATCATCTTATTTATAGTTGATTTTTTTTAATACACTTTTCACGCTTAATATTACTGAACTTGATACACGAATATAAATGATAAGTGACCTTTTTTAATGATATAGAATAGGTAAAAGTTGAATTTTTTTTCAATATATCCTCTCACACTTAATATTATTTGACTTGATGCATGTATCAAATGAATGTTCATTTTAGAATGATATGTATCATCTTAAAATAGTAAGTTTGAATATAATTCAACTTTAAAAAATTGATTTATAAAGTGAAAATTATTTTGAGGTTGAATATTGGTGAGGTGAATCCCATTAATCCAAGAATAACGGTATTAATCACCAACAATTTAGCAAAACCCACCAACAAATCTCAGTGTGCATTGCAAATCCAAGAATGACGATCTGGGATTTCACGCACTCGTCGTTGGAGAAGCATATAATTTTAGCTTTCATAGGAACTTTTTTTTTCATCCACATTGTTATTTTTGCAGCTTCCAATGGCCAAATCAAAAACACCTTCACTATTTTGACATATATGTTGAAATTCGAGACTCTTGTGTATTGTGTTCGCGTAAAATAAGGGAAGATGGTCCATTATATTTTTTAACGATGGTGTGTACACGTGCTTTCCATGGAACCCGCAAACCACAATCTTCACAAAATATGGATATGGGTGCTCCAAATATAACTTCAAAGGTGTATTTCATTTCTTACAAATATGGACATCCAAAAATATATGCAAGCCAAATAAGTATCATTTTTTACGGATAATTATAAAATTATTTTATATATTAATTTAAACTAATGTAATGAAATATTAATTAATTTTTAAATTTTTTAAAAATTTGTAAATTTGATCTATGTATTAAAAATTTTAAATTGAATGATTGAATCGTTGAAATTTGATATAGAATATGAGTTATTAAACAGATTTTCTCTCTCTATATATATATATATTAATTATGAGAAAAGTTATAATAATATCGGTGTAATTTTTACTAAGTATTACATCGCTTAATAATTTTATATTTAATATAAATTTTATAAATTCAACTGTTAGATTGAAAGTTCTTTATTTTTAGATTATATATATAAAATTTTTATATTAATCTAAGATAATTTGATTTTTCATTCTTATAAAATAAAATTGACGTAATATAAAATATATTAAAATATGAACATTTTGATTATCTTCAAGTTATTATTCAATTTTAACAAAATTTGATATACATATAGAGTGATATGAACTTTTAATTGAATGGTTAAATTTACAAAATTCACAATTAATATAAAGTTAATAAGCGATATAATACGTAATAAAAATTACACCAATGATATCATAACCTTCATATAATAATAATAATAATAATAATAATAATAATAATAATAATAATAATAATAATAATAATAATAATAAAAGTTGAATTTAACTTTTATATGCTGATTTTTTTCTGTCATATAACTAAAAGTTATGATACATATATATTTTAAAGATAATTATTATAAAAATTAATACAATATACTTGTAAATTTGTAATTAGAGGAGAGTATGAAAATCAAAATGTTCTAGGTTGAATATATGTGAGTTATAACTCATAAAACTCCTTTGGTTTTGATCGATAAAAAGAAAAAAGAGTATAAAGGAAAAAAAAATTAAACATTTTTAATTATAGAAATTAAAAACTAAAATTTGTGAAAGTGTTGCAACGAAAAGACTAAATAAAAAAAAAAAAATCTAAAGTCACAATTGAGTTACTGAGAAAATAGATGTTGAGTTGTTATGGCTAAGCTTCATCACTCATCGCATGGTGTTTCTGGGTAGCAGCAATCATGCTCTTCGTTTCCCTTCATCCTCATATATCTCCAACTTCATCATTTTCTCGCATTCGCATTTTCTCTTCACTGCTCCCAAATCGCAACAACCCCACTTCCCTTCCAATTCCCATCAAAGCCCCCACTCCTCCATGGATGAAGGCTCCTCTTCTTCTCCAACCCCACGAGCTCGTTGACCTCTCCAACCCCAAAGATAACAAGTCCAAGGTCGAAAAACACGAACTTTCTGACAAAGCTTTGATGGGCAAAGAGGCCAGAGGGAAGAGGTTCATGAAGAAAATCGTGAAGAGGGTCGAAAAGCTTCGTTACAAGACTCGCACTTCGTCCGAGACTCGAATTGGTTCCCCCAATGTTGAAAATGAAGACTTTGGTGGGGTTTTTGAAAGTGTGGAGGAAAACGAGGAGGAGGTCAGGACTAATAAGGGAAGAATGCCATGGGTGAAGGATGATGAGAAGTTTGGTGTTGTGAAAATCAGAAGGGAAAAGGTTGCCACTGCTGCGGAATTGACTCTTGACAAGGTGCTGCTTCGGAGGTTGAGGGGTGAAGCTGCAATAATGAGAACGTGGATCAAGGTTAAGAAAGCTGGTGTTACACAAGATGTTGTGGACCAAATTAAACGGACTTGGAGGAGAAATGAGCTTGTGATGATCAAATTTGATATCCCTTTATGCCGCAATATGGATAGAGCTCGAGAAATTGTTGAGGTTTTGGCTTGTTCCTATTCTTCAAGTGGAATTTTGTTAAACTGCTAGCATTGCAATTGTTATATTACTGGATGTTTGAATTGATATGTTTAACTTAATTTGTTAGTGATTTCTAGTTGTACATGACCGAAAGACGGGTTACATGTCCATGTAGTGTGTATATTAATATATTTATTTCTTCCCCGCTGATACTCTACTTTTATATGTTGATGTCATACATATTTTCTGTAGGAATCACTAGTGTCGGGTAGCGGTGAAGAGGTTGGGATAGTATGTATAAGATGTTAGATTCAAATATTGTTGTCGTCATTGTAATCTTTCAGGAAAAAAAAAATGTAGTGTGTTTTGGTTAGTTAAACATGAGTTTTGGTTTAATAGAATTTCCATCTTTTAAAGTTGAGCTTTCAAAGCAAATTGATTTTGCTAGTATGTTTATGGATGTTCAATATTGAAAGTTGATTTGAGCCAGTTTGACTTTGAGTAATTATTGATATCTAATATTGAGTGTCTTGTTTCTGCTGTGCTGTATAATTCAGATATACTGCTATATATATGAATTAGTTGTATCAATGTTCTAATATTAATCAAATTGTTTTGACTTTTGACCAAAAGATAATTATTTCTGTTATGTTATACATGTTTTATGGTATCCTTCCTGTCATCCAATGACTATATTAGTGTTCATTTCCCGTTTGAACAGACAAAGACTGGAGGCTTGGTTGTTTTGACTAAGAAGGATTTTCATGTGGTTTACCGAGGAAGCAATCATCAGTTGACCACTAAAGGTTCTCCTAGTCTAAGAACAAATCGTTATGAAATGAATAGAGTGGAATCAGCTACAAAAGGGGGTCTTTGTGCAGTTGAATCCAACCACAGTTCGAGTGAGATGCTGACCTGGAATGCTGATCATAAGGATTCTATATCAACTGGCATCCAAGATATGGATACTCAACTGGTCAATAGGTCACTGTATGAGAGGGAAACTGATAGATTATTGGATGGCTTAGGACCTCGGTTCATTGATTGGTGGATGCACAAGCCACTTCCAGTAGATGCTGACTTACTTCCCGAAGAGGTTCCTGGATTTCAGCCTCCATTTAGGCTTTGTCCACCTCATTCTAGTGCAAAACTAAGTGATTATGAGCTAACATACTTCAGGAAGCTTGCTTACCCTTTACCAACTCATTTTGTCCTTGGTACTCTCCTGCTTCGTGCGATCCTTCAATATCTTTTCAGACTGAGAATACATATTTCTTTTCCTGTTTTTCCTTAATAGGTGCAATTTATACAAAAAAAATAAAAATAAAAATTACCAGTATAAACCAGCTTAATAATAATAATAATAAAAAAAAAAAAAATATATATA